GGAGCATGCAGGCCATTTCAATACATTGACATCAAACGTTTCAAACCATGCTGTGGTTTGTCGGCTTTTATGGATTGGAGCATTATCTTGTTGATAAGTCCATGAAATGTGACTGTTTGCATGAATAAAAGGCAATAAATGATTTTCGAGTATTCTAATATACTCCGCACTATTCATTCGTGTAGTTGGAAAAGCTAATATGAGCTTGCCACAGGAGCAGAATGCACCCCACACGATAAGTGTCCCTCCACCGAAATTACGTTTCGATAAGTATTTTTGTTCTTTACGAAGGTCCCTCCAATATGAATTAAATCCATCTGGACCGTCCAAATTGAATTTTTTTTCGTCAGAGAAAATAACCTAAGTTAAATAAGGAATATCGAATATGAAGCTAAAATCTCGATTTGTGAATGTCTAAACTTAACTTACATTATTCCAATTTCTGCTCATGTTTTCTTGTGCGTATTCAAGCCTGGCTATTTTGTGACATTTCAGAAGTGTAAGTGCAGACATCATTTTTTGTCTTATAATGTTTGAATTATGTTTAAGGACACGTTGGACAGTCCAACGAGAAACGCCGAGATCACATTCCTTCACAATTTGTTTACAGCTTTTTAACGTATTGCCCGCAACTTTAGCAATTTGCGTTTCAGTACGAGGGGATAACTTCTTCTTAGGTCCCCCTTTCTTATTTTTCTCATACTTAGTAGGATCGCGTAAAAAATTCAGTACAACTTTATGAGATCGCCCGAATTTACGTGCGATTTCACGTATCCCCATTTTTTGCTCTCTGTACGCTGAAATTGCACCTTGCTCTTGTTCATTAAGGTAGCTGCCACGTGGCATTGTATGAATTAACTAAGAATTCCCGGGTTTACTAAAAAAATTCCAACAGAAACCCTTGAAGTGCGTTAAAAATGAACTGGTTCTATTGTTTTGTACCGATCGTCAAACGTTTATCGATTAAATCTTGACATATAAGTAGACAACTTCAATGAATTTCACCTAAAATCCATTATTTACAATGCTTTTTCATACCATATAATTGGTTGTTTCAAATTATTTTCTTACAGGTCGGAAATGTTAAAAATATTAGTGGTGCTATAGTTATGCTCCGCAGTGTAGGTCGGAAAGTAAAAATGCCTGGGCAGTCGAGAATCTCGGCTCGAGAATCCAAATCGTATGCCGTTGATGGGAGGTCGGATTTCAGTTGTTAAGAGCGAGAAGGCAAATGTGAGCCTCTCTCTCTCGACTCCCACGAGGCGGTCCGAAATTACTTCGGGCAGCTTCGGAGAATCGAGAAAGAGGGCATGCGTCACTTTGCCTTTGTCGACTTTCCGAAACTCCCCGAGCTCACGTACGCGTATCTGGCATGGGGGCGTGTGCACCCGGCGGTGCTTTTCAGGCACCTCTGATCTGAACAGAGTCAGCGTATCTGATTGAAGACGCGATTCATTTATTATTATTAGACTGCGGATCTTCATGCAAATTCACATTTTTATTAATAGAATTAATGAAACGGAAGCTTCGCAGAGGGCTGTCTCAACCCCTAAATATAATAATTCGTATCTTACTTTAAGTATTTCTTATATTTTTGCATATTACATGCATTCTGTAGTTTTCTGAGGATTAAAATTTCCCATAAATGCATAAACATCCGCAGTCTAATTATTATACAGGGTGAGGCATATGAACTAGTCCCCACGATTTTCCAGCTCCTTTCGATGATCTGACAAACAAATGTTATGTATTGAAGTTAATCAGTATCTAACTGACAAGAAATTGCAGTTGCTTTAATTTAAAAATAAATTAATTTCTGGTAGTCTAAGGACCTTAGCTACTCGTATTTCTGTCAATTCACTTGTTCCGGGAGCTGAAACATGTAAATATTGACACTTACTCGAGTTTTCGACCTCGCTTTATCGTAGCCCGGACTATACAAGGTGTTCGGCCACCCCTGGGAAAAATTTTAATGGGAGATTCTAGAGGCCAAAATAAGACGACAATCAAGAATATCAATTTCTTGACTGAGGCTTCGCTAAAAAGTTATTAAAAAGTTATTTTTAGTGGAAATACACGTTTTAAGACCCCCTGATCATATTGTGATTATTAGAAAAAAAGAAATTTTTGTTGTTCCTATGTATTAACATGGTTGCGTCTAAACGGCTAAGTGAATTTTAATAACGAGAAAAAAATTTCGAAAATTTTTTAGCGAAAATACATGTGTTAAGACCCCTTAATCATATTGTGATTATTAAAAAAAAAGATATTTATTCTACGGCTATTTACGCACGTACATAGATATGCTATTAACATGATTGCGTCTAAATGGCTAAATGAATTTCAATGAAACTTTACATTTAAGTTTTATGTTCTCGTTTCAAGGTCTGATTAGATTTTGAGCATGATCAGCTCCCGGATAATGATGATTATACGTCTTGTAGTTTATTAATTATTCCGATACATATACATTATTTATAAAAAATTTTTAAAACGTTTTATATCAATCTTAAGAAGGATTAAGATCAAGTAAACTTTATCTCTATTTTTTCTATCTGCTGTTACAGCAGTGACTCATGCAAGGTTGACGACAGTGTTTTGTTTATACTCCTCGTGGGTCGCTGGGTCGTAGAAACGACGAGGATGGAGAAATAAGGGGCGTAGGCATACATACATAGCCTAGTCTCCGCAGGTTTTTAAAGGGCAATAATTAAAAATAAAATTCTATTGCATGAACAGCAGTCAACTTAATGTATTCCATTTTACAGTAATGAATTCAGTGGGGAATAAAAAAAAAAAGGCAAGACGAATGTGGATGTTTTAATATACGGCGTGTGGTAATGTTATAAATAAATAACGATTTTTTGCATCCGAATGGAAGGAGGGAAATTGAGATCTATTAGATTTCCATTGAACGGTAATGTGCACGTTATTGTTTTTCCCATATTTTAATTATTTTGTTATGTAAACTTAGGTTAAATATACAGGGTGGTCCACGCAACATGTGCAGCTTTGTAACTTCCAAAATATGCGTTGCACGAAACAATTTCGCATACAAAAGTTGCATTGTTTAAAGGGGTACATTACGTTGAGCTTTTTTTTATAGGTGGAGGCGTTTCTAAAATTTGAAAGTCAATTTTTTTTTTAAATAGAATACTATATTTTTTGTATGAAAGTATGGAAGAATATCGAATTCTGAGTAAAACAGTATTGACCTTCATTAGCCCTAAATTTAATAGCTAACGAATAATTTCACTTCATTTCTTGACAATTTTCTTCGCGTAATATCAAATTGGAGACTCAACCTTATAACAGATTTCTGCAGAATAGTGAAAATTATCAAAAAATAAAGTGAAATTACTCGTTTGCTATTAGGTTTAGGGCTAATAAAGGTCAATACATTTTTACTCAGAATTCGATATTCTTCCATATTTTGATATAAAAAATATAATATTCTATTTAAAATAACAAAGTTGACCTTCACATCTCAGAAACGTCTCCAACCATAAAAAAAATAAATATGCTACGTATTGTATCCCTTTAAACCATGCAACTTTTGTACATAAAATTTTTTCGTATAACGCATATTTTGGAAATTACAGAGCTGCACAAGTTGCGTGGACCACCCTGTATAATATTTGATTCTGTGTAACCAATTGATACGGTTATTGAAAAACATAGCGGGAAAAGTTAGTTTTAATCTATATCTTTAGTAAACATTTGTTACTGAAGTCTGTTACAACATGCATGGTACTGGTTAAGAGTGGTTTTTCATTTTAATAAATTTTACTTATTTCAATTTCTAAATACTTATTTCTTAATTAACCCTTTACGAGTGCGAGTGCTTTGAACAACATTATTCCAAGATATTTGTGGAATACGTTTTTAATGTGGTTTAGGTAGATATGCAATGTATAAGATTTTGTTTAATTTTTCCTTTCTAGATGTTCAAATATCGAGTTAATTCGATTTTTATTTAAACCTGAAATAATTCGTTAATCGTTTTGTTTTCGGTTTACGCGACCGATCAGAACATTCTAGGTCGACGCGTCCGCAGTTCGAAACATTAGGCAGAAGAAAAAACACGATTCTCAGGTTTTCCTGAAAGTCACGCGAACGATAAAATAACGTTCAATTTCGAACAAGCGGTTTACGTCGAAGCGTAGAGAAGGTACGACAATTATATGTTAGACAGAGACGGACGAGAGACACGGCGACAGCGCCGCCTGACGGAAGATTCCCCCCGTCTGGCGTACGTTTTGGCAGCCCGTGCTCGTCCGTCACTCGCTATTAAGCCACTGCCACGAGCACATCGAGTATCGATCACGCTCAGCAGAAATCAGAAAAATCTCCGAACAGTGTCGAGTTATTCGAGCTTTCGTGGAGACACAACGCAAAACTATTAGCTGATGCTTGTCGCGAGCAAATCGGTAATCGATATCGCTCAGTACGACTAACCAAGAAATAAGAGCGTCGAGTTCTTCGAGCTCTGTTTCGGGGACAGACGACGTAACGTGGTAGTTTTACTGGTAGAGATTGCATAGGCAAACTTCTACCAACAACCTACACGCAATTCCGTTCTGTCGAATCTGCTATTTTAATCTGTCGGTCGTGAATACGACCTGGTTAAAAGGAAAGACTGCGGAAACTCTTTGGTATCATCGAGATTCCCCTTCAGCAGTGAACTTCGGTTTTCGTCAGCCTGACTTTTCCACAAACTGCTGCAAATCGTATTTTTGAAATCGTATTCGACTTGAAACGACTAGAAATCGTAGTATTTGTACTAAATCGAATCTTGTATTCTTTTTCCCGAAGTACCTTCCCTCGAGATCCGGGCCACCGTTAGGCGAGGTATTTAAACCTCCTCCACCTAACATAACGTCCTTCGAGCCGGATCAAACGAGGTTGACTGGAACGGGAAAGGGTGAACACTCTTGCACGTGAGGAACTAACCACGTGAGAGTTTAAATCGAGTTGATTGAACCTCGATAATACCCACTATGGCGGTAGCGGAAGAACTGTCGCGGTCCGACCTTGAGGATCGACTCACGGAATTGACCGAAGAGTTCGACCGCCTCAAAATACTGAGCGTTAACCTAAAAAAGATGGGTAGAGCGAAGTACTCGGAGAAACTCCTCGAGGAAAAACTCGATTACGCCAGGCAAATATGGCGGAATACCCGCGCCATGTATGCGAGCGTGAGGAAGATGATTCCCGCCGCGAAAAGACAAGCCTACGCGCTGTTTAAGCCAGGCTACCTCCTCGGTGCGGAAAACGAATTCCAGGAATTCCAGAATTACGTTACCACCGAGATGGCCCGAATTGCCGCTGAGTCTAAATCAGCGGCACCGGAAGTCCAACAAAGCAGCATGCTGATAGAGCTCCCGAAGCTAAGATTGCCCAAATTCGAAGGAGATCCTCTTGAATGGGAGCATTTCGAGGATCTATGTACCTCCGAGGTTATTAATAATGCATGTCTATCGGATGTACAGAATGCCTGCTTAGGGGAACCAGCTCTAGCGACGACTTCGTCGCTCGAGATTGTCGGGCATAATTTCCCGGAAACGTGGAAAAAGCCGAAAGACAAATACGGTCCTCCACGCGTGGCCACGGGAAAGCTGCTTGATAAGCTCCTGTTCATGGGGCCGATTGATTTAAACGATCTGGCCAGTATGCAGCAAATCACTGTGGATTGCACAGAGGCTCTCGCTGCTCTCAGGAAAAGGGGCACCCCCGAGCAGCTGTTAGAATGGCTGCTCGCGCACCGAGCGATACAGCATTTCACCCCAAAATTGAAGTTGGAATGGCAGAGGACGCTCAGTCACTCGACGGAGTATCCTACGTTTGAAGACGTAAGGCAATTCATTGATAATTATGCGCATGCTCTGCTTTCGATGAACGAGGACCGTCGAGAGGCAGCCCTCGCACCTGAAACAAAACCACGCATGTCTAAACATAGCGACGCTCGACGAAAGAGCGTCGCTTCAAAGCCACTGACGAGCCCTAACGTCGTTGTGGGAACCGACTCGGCTACAAAACCGAAAATGTCCAGTTCTGAAACTGACTGGCGAGTCAGGCAGTGCGGATTCTGCACTGGGCCACACAGTCTGCCACGATGCAACAATTTCATGGTGTTGCCGGCGAAAATGCGTAATCAATACGTAAGGAATCGGCAGTGGTGTGTGCGATGCCTAGGGTTCTCCCACACGGCAATGCGATGCCCAAGCCCCAAGGTGTGCAACAAGTGTAGTGGGAAGCACCATTCCCTACTGCACTTTGATTGCACCCGGGAAGAAATGAATGCGAGGCCGTTAGCCCAAAATTCATACGGCCAGCGTGAAGAAAGCCGTTTAAAAGTCCAACCACGGCGACCGACCAAGTCGAAGCCAAAGGGAAAGAAATTCGGCTTCGAATGCTAATACAAAACATGCCTCGACATCACGCTGTACCGCGCTCGGTACAGGCGCACTGAGGCCTTTGGTATTAGCCACGGCACGAGTACGCGTGATCGGAGAGAACGGTGCATCGCGAATTGCGCGAGCACTGTTAGACCCAAGTTCAGAAACGTCATTCGTCTCCGCGGGTTTAGTTAACAACCTCCAACTAAAGCGCGTACGATCCCCCGCCACGGTATCATGCTTGGGGGGCGGTCAATCGCAGAAAATAAAATTCAGCGTCGAATTAAACCTCGGCCCGATAAACGGGACGAAACCGATGTGTGTTGCCAACGCGTACGTCGTGCCGAAAATCACGACCTACCGCACACCGTCGGCGAACGCGCTTGTTTACAGTGCGTTCCGAGGTTTATCGCTAGCCGATCCAGATCCCGCGGCCGATCAGACGATCGAAATTCTTATCGGAGCGGATTTATATGCTCAGGGGTCATTCCATGCGAAGTCGGACACTTTTCGGAGTACCATGTCGGATTTTGTTCTACTTTGAATATGTTGTAGTCTTTAGTGATATATAAACGTATCTCGAAGGATTTTTAAAAATTTTAAAAATTGTTGGTTTTACATCTGTTTGAAATATAGAGCTCACTTTTTTTCAATAAATAATAGCTGCTAAAGTAAGGAAGTTATAAAAATGAAATTTTAGGTACTAGTAGCAGACCCATGGGAGTATCAAATAAAAATTATTTCAATTAAAAAAAAAATTTTTTTAACTATTTATTTTGCAATTGTTTACAACAAATGTCATTTTTTTTATAGCGGGGAAATATTTAAAAATCTGAAAAAAATGGGCATATAGTCCTGTTTGTCCCCTTCACGGACCAAGTTTTAAAAATACGGACACTTTAAAATTGGCCTTATAAAAATTAATTGAATGGAACGCTGCGTCGCGTCGTGACATGCTGGCTCGACCGGCCAAGTCGCGCAGTGCCTGCAACCGCCAAGCGGCTATACGTGCTATTGTTATACATAGGGTGTTGGACTGCTGGAAAATGAAACAGTTATTGGACACTCACTCTTTGTCAATGACACTTAGCATTATACACATTTATGTTGTCAATATTCAATGGGATAGGATGTTCAATGTTCTAGTGGGATAGGATATGATGGGATGTGATGGGATTAGGTTCTGGTTAAGAAATAATGGTTGGATTGTACCAATGATCATCTACCGGATTAAATTGTTTGTTATAAAATTACTTACCTCATAACAGCTACAACTGTTGATTTTTCACTGTCTGAATAAATTCGGGCAGTTAAATGTGTTACTTCTTTGATTGGTGTAAATGAATGAAAATTAAGTGTTCCACAGATTGTTGTAGCCAGTTCACGTCTTTCCAGCAAGAATTCCGAATGTTTCTTATATTCTTCTGTTGAGCTGAATTGCAAATGTATATTTTTAATATTGGCAGTTGCCCAATCAAATAATTTTTGTGGTGTCGTTATCTGGTCTCCCAACGGTCTTTGTAAACTAGCTGGAGCAGCAAGGCGTTTTAAAGAACCACCAATACCATTTCATGCATTTTTGCCATGCGATGTTGCAAAGTAATGCCATTCGGCGTTGATTCCAAAGTCTTCAAAATGGAAATTGAGAATTAATAAATTATATTTATTATGGTACTGTGATGATGCTCCGTTAGAAAAATATTTGATTTCCTTGATAGTTGTGTAGCGGCCATTGTATAGCCACTACGCCCTTGCCAGAGTATGAATGGGAATGGAATGTAAGGATAGTTTTAAGCTTTCTATTTTTCCATTTTCCCAGGGTCTCGTGCGAGCCTGGTCGTCCTGTTAAACACTTGGCGACCAGAGCCGTGCGAGGCGTCTGTTTTCCCTCAAGGTTTCGCCTGGGCCTCGGACCACCCTGATCCGGGCCCGGCGAGCCTCTTGACTTTTATGACTCGCTTTCGCTAAACTTTTCCTATACTGAGTATTTTCCAGTTTCGTTTTTCCGTCTTTCTGTCCTGTCTCTTTTTCTCTACCTTTGCTATTAGGGTAAGAAATTGTATATATTCAGGGGACGTGAGAAGAAAGACCCCCAGTCTATTTTAGACCCGAGTCTGGCTAAGACGTCGCGCGTTTGCGAAGCCAGTGTTATTAACTTTGACCTACGTGTGGCTACACCCCCGACACCCGCGGAAATAAACTCTTTAATAATTGTTGGGGTAGATTGAGGTTTGTCACTTGAACCTCCAGCCCCCTCAGTTGTGCCATGTGTTTCCTTAAAAAAATTCCACTAATTTCTTCTGGTATAAATGGACTGCAGTGCTGTCATGTTGGAGACAATCCGAAATAATTACAAAGTTTTCATGGTTTAAACAAATATCCACCTGATAATATGCAATGAATGTGTGTATTGTCGCCTGTTTGTTGGACCAATGATAATTTTGGATTTCGTCTTGGATAGCGAAGGAATAACTTTCCGCAAAATCGCCGACGACAACAAATTCATCAGGTCCTACATTTTCTTTAGAATATTTAAAAAAGCTGCTTTGACTTCTTGCAATAAAATCGTGAATTTGCAACTTTGGTAATCGGATTTCTAATTCATCTACAAACTGTGTTGCTGTTAAAAACGTACATTTTGAATTCAACTCAAAAGAAGAATATAAGGAACATTCGGAATTCTTGCTGGAAAGGCGTGGACTGGCTACAACAATCTGTGGAACACGCAATTTTCACTTATTTACACCAACTAAAGAAGTAACGCATTTAACTGCCCGAATTTATTTAGACAGTGAAAAATCAACAGTTGTAGCTGTTATGAGGTAAGTAATTTTATAACAAACAATTTAATCCGGTAGATGATCATTGGTACAATCCAACCATTATTTCTTAACCAGAACCTAATCCCATCACATCCCATCATATCCTATCCCACTAGAACATTGAACATCCTATCCCATTGAATATTGACAACTTAAATGTGTATAATGCTAAGTGTCATTGACAAAGAGTGAGTGTCCAATAACTGTTACATTTTCCAGCAGTCCAACACCCTATGTATAACAATAGCAGGTATAGCCGCTTGGCTGTTGCAGGCACTGCGCGACTTGGCCGGTCGAGCTAGCATGTCACGACGCGACGCAGCGTTCCATTCAATTAATTTTTATAAGGCCAATTTTAAAGTGTCCGTATTTTTAAAACTTGGTCCGTGAAGGGGACAAACAGGACTATATGCCCATTTTTTTTCAGATTTTTAAATATTTCCCCGCTATAAAAAAATGACATTTGTTGTAAACAATTGCAAAATAAATAGTTAAAAAAATTTTTTTTTTAATTGAAATAATTTTTATTTGATACTCCCATGGGTCTGCTACAAGTACCTAAAATTTCATTTTTATAACTTCCTTACTTTAGCAGCTATTATTTATTGAAAAAAAGGGAGCTCTATATTTCAAACAGATGTAAAACCAACAATTTTTAAAATTTTTAAAAATCCTTCGAGATACGTTTATATATCACTAAAGACTACAACATATTCAAAGTAGAACAAAATCCGACATGGTACAGTGAAAACTCGATAAATGTCGCTACTCCGGGTCCGGTCAGCAACACTTACGGAATAGGAGAATCGTCTTTCGAATTTGATTGTAGTTTGCCGACACTTCGAACGTAGAAAGAGTCAGTAGCTAAAGAAGAAAGAGGGACTGAAACTCGGATTTATCGCCCCAGTTTAAATATCCGCGTCAGTGTGACCACACTACTGCACAGAAGAAAGTTTTTTATTTTTTACTTTTTGTTAATAAAAATTTCACTATCATGTTGGGGAGATTTCTCTGATTAAAATGAGGCTAAACACGATATAAATCGGTCAATATTTGGTAGCATAATATTGAATTAAATATTGTACTTGCGAGTCTTTCTCTCTTTATTTATCCTTCTTGTGCTGTCCTTTTCTATGTTCGGAAATATCAAAGAACGACGCATCGAGGTGCTGGCTACATTTATCGAACGGGAGATAGCTATTTTCAAACGGAACGGTTCCACCGTTTCGTAAGTGATCAAAAACTGCAACACTTATGAAATAGGGGGTTTCGTTAGCTACCACTGTTCGATAAATGTACCAATCCACTGACCTTGCGAAGATACGAGTACACAATATTTAATTCAATATTATGGTAACAAATATTTGCCGATTTATATCGTGTTTAGTCTCATTTTAATTAGAAAAATCTTCCCCACATGATAGTAAAATTTTTATTAAAAAAAAGTAAAAAATAAAAAACTTTCTTCTTGTACAGTAGTGTGGTCACACTGACAGGGACATTTAAACTAAGCTGACGAAGGCAATAAAGATTTTTAAAGAAAGCCGCTACGTCTCCGGTTACACTTCGCCTCACTGGTTCAAGGGGGATCCCCCTAGTGGTGGGGATAAAAATGTATCATTTATGGAACAGCTCTTGAGGACATTTATCGAGTTTTCACTGTACTCCGAAAAGTGTCCGACTTCGCATGGAATGACCCTCAGGTGATTCGACCGGGCTTCCGACGAGGGGCGGCTGGAGGTCCCATCGCCCAAGAGACGGCGTTCGGCTGGGTTATATCCGGTCCGATACACGCTGCAGCCGAAAACCAGAATACTGTAAGAACGCTGCATTGCACCGTTCTCGAATCGCTGGATTATGCGATTCGACGGTTCTGGGAGACCGAAGAAATCCCTGCGACCTCGGTTGCGGTCCAAGGCGGAAGAAGAATGCAAAGCACTCTTCTGAAAAACCGTCAGACGGGAAGGAACAGGACGGTTTATAGTCCGATTACTCTGTTCAACACGAATTTTGTTTTTCCGTACCCACTAGGTGATTCTTGTAGAACTCTGTTTCCTAACCACGAATATGAAAATGGAATTGCTGTATCACCCTCAGTTTTCGAAAAACACGAGTTTTTGTGAAAACGTTCAATTTTGGGTAAAAACGAGGTATTACGCGAAAATTAGAAACATTACACAGTTCCACTTAATCTTAAAA